AAATGATGGACAGGAGGGATTTAGCAGGTAACAAGGCAGGGAAGAGCATGCCAGGCATGTAATAAATGTCCAAATATATCAGTAACAATCCAGTGTTAGACCCTCCTGAAAAAGAATCAAGGAATACAAGGCAGAACAAAGAAGGGAGGGTAATAAATCTTAATTAAGGATCACTGGTGTGCCAAGGATTGAGCGAACATTTTCTTTTTTCAAAATATTTTTGCTATTATTATTATTTTTAATGAAAAGATGAAATTGGAGCTAGGAGCTCTCTCTCTCTTTCTCTTTTTTTTTTTACTATTTATTTATTTATTTGGCTGCATCGGGTCTTAGTTGCGGCACATGGGATCTTTTGTTGTGGCATGCAGGATCTTTCGATGTGGTGCACAGGCTCTTCACTGTGGCATGTGGGCTCTCTAGTTCTGGCGCGAGGGCTTAGTTGCCCTGCAGCATGTGGGATCTTAGTTCCCCGACCAAGGATCAAACCCGCGTCCGCTGCATTGGAAGGCGGATTTTATTTATTTATTTATTTATTTATTATTTTTTAATATTAGGGGTTTTTTTAAACATCTTTATTGGAGTATAATTGCTTTACAATGGTGTGTTAGTTTCTACTGTATAACAAAGTGAATCAGCTGTACATATACATATATCCCCATATGCCCTCCCTCTTGCATCTCCCTCCCACCCTCCCTACCCTACCCCTCTAGGTGGACACAAAGCACCGAGCTGATCTCCCTGTGCTATGTGGCTACTTCCCACTAGCTATCTATGTTACATTTGGTAGTGTATATATGTCCATACCACTCTCTCACTGGAAGGTGGATTCATAACCACTGGACCACCAGGGAAGTCCTACTAACATTTTCCGTAGAGGATTCAGAGGAAGATTCAAGGAGATGGCATTTGTTCTGGTCTTAAAGGTAGAATAAAATTAACAGGTGGAGGAGGAAAATGAAGTTATGCTGGTTGAGAAAACTGCAAAAGGCAGATAAACATGAAAGTGCATGATCACCTTTTCTCTTCTATTTACGTTCACACTTTATAGATCTTTTCCAGTCTTGTAGCATCAAATAGCATTTGTAGCATTTTAAGTAGATATCTCCTTAATTTAGACCAGCCCTGAATTCTCCATTGAGCCACCCATCTGTACCTCCAGATGTTTATTTGAAATCTCTACTTAAATGTCTTACAGTCACATCAATTGTTTAATGTTTAATACTGAGCCTCCTGACTTTCTTTTCCCAACCTGTTATTCCTTCAATTTCCCATCTCAGTTATTGGTACCATCATCCAACCAGTTGCTCTAGCAAAAACCTAGGAATTATCCTGGATTCCTTTTAGCTTCAACAGCCATGTCTAATCCTTAAAAGAACACTCTGACTCCACTCAAAAGCACATCTCAGATCTGAATAATTAATTTCCTAGATCCCAGTGATCATTTTTGCCATATTCTCTTTGGTCTCTGTTTCTCCTTTGCTCCTCTACTATCCATTCTTCACTCAATATAGCCCAAGCTATATTTTAAAAATCTAAGTCACATTATATCACTCTTTGCTTTAAACTCTTCAATATCTTTTTTGTTTTGTTTCTAGAACTAAATCTTTGCCTAATCATCTAGCCCCCATCCAGCTTCCCAAACTTACCTCCAGTCTTAACTCACACTACCTGCTCCAGCTGTGCTGTTTTCTTCCCAATTCTGAACATGTGCAAGGTCGTTCCCACTCAATACTGTTGCACCTAAAGCTCTCATTTCCTGCAGTGATCTCCCTCATCTCTTTCCATGGTTGTCTCACTCTCATCTTTCAAATTTTAATCCAAATGTCATTTAAAAATATGCCTTCTAATGGTTCTACACAGATTTTTCTACATCACCACCATACTTATTTCCTTCTTAGAATTGAACATGTAATATTCTTTTCATTCATTTACTTGTTTATTTTCTCTCTTTCCGAAACTCCCAGCTCCATGAGGCAAAGGCCTAATTTTTCTTTAAGCACCATATCCCAAGTACATAGCACAGTATCTGGCTTAAAGCAGATGGTCAATAAGTATTTTTTGAATGAATGAATGCCAAAGTCAGTAGTTTCTTAAGACTGTAAATAAGGGTTTGTAGAATCAGAGACATTACATAAAATAAGGATTGAATTTGCTTTGATCATTGGGAAGTCACTGGCAAGAGTAGTGAATTGGGGTGGAGGCAGAGGTAGGAATGTCATGGGTGAGGACCAAAATAAGAGATGTGAAATTGGAGAAGAATAGGTATCATTGACTGAAAGGGAACAATGAAGGGTGTGGTGCTACAGTCTTGGGGGTCTAAAGAAAGTCCTTTAAAATTTTTGTTAATGGGTGAGATTTGTGTAGATTTTCATGTGAGGAGAAGGGAGCAGCAAAGACCAAGAGGTTGAAGTTACAGGGGAAAGAAGGGTAGGCGATGGAGTAAGGTTATGGAGTTGGAATTGGGGAATAGGTTCTGGAGCCCAGGTGAGGGTTGCCTTGGAAAGAAGGAAGGACAGCACTTCCTCTGAGGAGCAGGACATCAAGGAAGGAATCTTTTAGGGTCTGTGTTTCCTCTGATAAAACCGAAGAAATAGAGGCAGGTATGGAGTTTAATATAGTGAATGGGTTTTGAAATACCACCATGAGCAATCGAGAGGCACTGGCCAGGAATTCATAAAAGGAATGCTGATTGTCAATAAAGATTCAGCTGAAATCATCAATTTGGTACAGTTGCTGTTGGAAGTCCCAGGATAATAAATCACAGTTTCTGCAGTGTAGTGGGGGAGAGGAGCAAGGATACTAATTAGCAAAGCCTTGTGGTGAGGGCTGTACTAGAGGAATAAAATTTTACGACCTGAACACAAAAGATGATGGGGAAGGGCTCGTAGGTTCTGGTCATAAGATCGATGGCTATAATTGAAGCTTTTGGAGTTGGAGCTGTTCTCCATGGTGGTAGAATCCTGGAGGAGGAGGTAGCTCACTGGAATAGAGGAAGTCATAGGACTCTGAGTTGGCAGGTCAGAGGGGCTTCAGACTGCAGTTGCGTAGGAAGGTAGAAGGAGTTGTTCTGGACAACAAGTCCTATGTGTCTGTGACTCACGTATCTGAATTCTCAATGAATATTTGAGAATGACCTGGAAGTCCACACATGCCAGTGATAAGGACATGTAGAGGGTGATATAGCCAGATATTGTAAACATCAAAGGAAGAAGGCATTGTACATGAGGGGGACAGCATCAGTGTCTCAAAGTAGCCATTAACAAGGAAGAAAATGCCCGAATCATTCCCCAGCCTCTACCAGAGTCAAGGATGGAAATAATTGGTCCTGAGATGCCAAGAAGCCTCAGGTGTGATATACTTCTAGGGCCTGCACAGGACACTGCACCAGATGGTGTCAGTGATCTGAGGACACCAGAAACCTGGGGTTGGTATGCTTGTTGTTGTCAAGGGACTGTCAGCAGAAGGACCACTGACTTCCCTCCAAGGTCAGTGCTGGGAGTAAGCAACATTATTGGTCTGTCAGAACCCAGAGAAAAATCCCCTTTAATCCAATATCTGTTCTTTTGAAGTATCTTCTTTTTCCCTCTGATTATGAAAGAAATATATATTCATTGCCCAAAATAAGGTAACACAGAAAAATACAAAGAATAAAGATCGCTTATAAACCCAGAGGGAGATAATATAATGGTTGTTAACATTTCCATATCTGGCACTAATAGAATGCGTTGGCATTTGTCAGTTAGGACTCTGAAATATCAGTCAGTGTTTCCTTTTTCTCCCTTTCCTACCCTTTCTTTCACTTTCCATCTTGGTGTGCTACCTTTCTAGCTTCATCTCTGTTCTCCCTAGATTCCGATCTCCATCATCTCTGGAGTAGAATCACTTTACCTTGGAGCCATCAGTAACTCATTAAGCATTGAATGGATGTCACTGGTGTGACTGCTCGTGTTGCAAGCCCTGCCACAGAGTTGCTATGGCTGTGACCATGGTACTGGGATGCCTCTTTTGGTTCTCCCAGGTGTCAGAGCCCATGCTGCTGGGCAAGTCTGGAAACCACTTGGCTTTTCATATTCATTTCTCAAAAGAGAAAATGCCACCTTGGGGATGAGGCTAACCCATACTCTACCAAAGCCCCTCTGCTGGTAGTCACTCACTGCCATTCACCATTAAGGTACTGTTTTTTACCAGCAAGAAACCACTCTCTTGACCCAGACACAACATGGCAGGCCAGAGCAGTTGAATGGTCCTCTGTCAATTAAACATAAACTTCAACTGCCCCATCACTAAGGCAATAATTTTTTTAGCCCCCTAAAAATAGCTTATGTGTGCTTCAGGTTTTCTCATTCTGCCTCCATTCCCAGAAAAAGGAAGTAAAACATGCCTAGTGAGGAACAATGCTTTCACCTTTTTGAGCCTGATAAATCTGTCCTTTATGTTACCACATGAGTCAGAACTACTATTTATCACAACCCTGCTAATTTTTTCTTTTCCTCCTTCCTCCCACCTATCTCCTGCCACTTCCCCAGAAGCATAAAACTTTCAACATCCTGCTGTCCATTAGCATAAATAAACTCGTGCTTTTAAAGTAAAAATAGGTTTAATGCTATATTTGTTAAAGACTACATTACCATAAGAGGATAAAAATATTCTTGAGTAACAGGTAGATCATATACTTTAGAGACAATAACATGCTTTTATTGTGGTTCCCTGAAAGTCGATTATTTTAGCCATAGATTAAAACCTTAGGTCTCAGCACAAGTTACATTTCCACTTCAGAAACTGTTAAAACATGCAGCTTCTCAGGACATGTATTTTTGTGTTTTAACTTATTTTTTCTGTTGCCAATACACTGTAGGCAGATCTAAGAGATAAAATAGATGAAGGGTCATTTAAACTCAATATTTGCTATATGAAACAATGGATAATGTTGTTATAACTTTGTTTCTTGTTTTTAACATACCTGTTGTTAATTTAAATTTTATGTGATATTTATGCAATAGATAAGAAAATACTGGGCTAAAAGAGAGCAGAAATGGCAAGAAATGGAAATGAGAGATCTTCAGCGTCTGGAAGAACTGAAGAAATTAATGGCTGAACAGTCAGTAAAAGACAGAGAAAGGTAAAAGAAAAAATTTAAATTGTGTGGTAATGGAACTCTGTAATGTGTTAGGTGAATGGAGTCTTCTGTAATGTGTTAGGATAAATAATATCAGAGGGAGCATTTTTCTATACTTAATGTGTCCTTACAATATTTATATTCATAAATGAATAAAATGATACTTATAATGTATTTTAAACTCTCATATTCATACATGAATCTCTAGTTTTCCATTTTGTTCCTCAGAGAGCTTCCTAGTTAAAATCCTCACAGAGGATTTCATAGTATTTGATTGCCCACTGTGTGTGTGAAATAATGCTGGCTGCTGCTGTGACTTAATATTTTTACCCAGAAGGAGGAAACCATTATTCAGATAAAAAGTCATTTACTACGACTGAGGCTGAGGAAGACAGTACGCAATTATTCTGTGCTCTGTGGCATTCATTCTAGTATACTTAAGATGTACCCAACGGTATAGGAGAAACCTGAATTCTCTAGGATAACGCAATTTTAGAGCTGGAAAGGACATTTGAGATCAACTAATCCAGTTTCCTCATTTTATGAATGAGTGCACTGAAAAATTAAAATTATTTTTCTCAAGGTTACTACATCAGTCAGGGTCAGTGAGGAGACAGAGACAACATGGTAATTAGGATAGGGAAAGTTTAAGATAAAGAATTATTAATTCTAACAAAAAAAATCTCTGTTATATAAAGGGATAAAGAACTTTAAAGAATGCTGCAGGGCTGAAGGGAGGGTTCTCATGGAAGGAACAAATTTGGAGGTGGGGCCCCCCTCTCTGTGGTTGGGATTCAGACCTCAATGTAGAAGGTGTGGTGGTGGCCCACCACATGGTGGAGAGGTTCTTGGATGGGCTCATCCAGAACTTGTTCCTAGTCACGGGGCTAGCAGGCAACACCCTACCTGCGTGCAGGAGACCGAAGCTGGAAGTCAAGCATTGCGATGGGAACCTCAGTGGGAACCTGACCATGGGAGTACCTCTGAAATTTGATGGGAAACTGGCCACGGGGTGCAACTGAACTCCACAAACACCACTGGGTGTCCCCCACACATGCTGCTGGTAGCCACGAAGCAGGAACAAGAAGGAGTAAACACTGGAACTAGGAAGGAAAGCCCCTTCCTTCTTCAGCATCCCTCCTGTACCCTTTTCTGACATGGCTAAGCATTGTACCAGCTGCAGAGAAGAAATAGTTACAGGGTCCAAGTCTATTTTCATAGAGCAGACAATGAAGGGAGATTTGGAGCTGAGAGACAATAAAGTGGTAACTGGCATAGTTATCTAGTTTAGCTAGCTCCTGAGTAGATTTTCACAAAAGATAAATTAAAAATAGATCTTACATTTCATAACATAAATCACAAGTTTTCTTTACAGTTCGTCAGTGTAAAAAAAAATTGCACGGAACTCTTTATACTTTCTGCTCAATTTCACTGTGAACCTAAAACTGCTCTAAAAAATGAAGTCTACTAAACTAATAAAAATTGCATTTTAGACTTATCATAACTTAGGATGACATAACTATTTTACACAACAAGGTTCACTTATATCTAGGAAGCTTCCTTTGTGACCCATGTGACCAAGCTTGCAGAGTGAATCTGTGGTTCCACACAGATGCCATGCAGTTCCCAACAACTTTCTGGATAAAATTCACATGATTTTCCAGGTATCTCAGGATTTATAATTGACTTTAATCTATTATGAAGAAAGCCAATAATATAGCAAACCTAGGGCTCAAGGCTAAGAGATGAAACAACCAGTGAGAAATCAGTTAAACAAGCACAAACCAAGATATAGGAGGATACCAGAAGGCAGGCCAGGCCATGGGTCAGACAGGAACAAGCAGCTAAATACTAAAGGCAAGGCAAATGTGGGGGTCAAAAGGCTGGTTGGATAGTCTGAAACTACACTGGGGAAACAAAAGAGAGCCACAGGAATTAAAGGGGTAGGTAAAAAGGAACAGATGTGAAGTCCCAGCATCTAGGAGACATGCTTCTAGTAAAATCTGCCCTCATAGCCAGGAAGTTTCTTTGATTAAAGAGCCATTTCAGTTGTGTGTTTCTTGTCCCAATAATTATCAAGCTGACTCAGCCTCTACGAGGCTCCGTTTTGTCCTTTGTAAAATTGAAGTGGATAACTTTTGAGGGCTAAGTGAGCTATCAACTTTTAAGGGTTTATGATCTGTGTATTCAACTCATATGAAATGTCGTAGATTCAGATAATTATGAATCCAACGCTTGCATGCCAGTGGGAAATCAGTGAGGAAGGCCATTAAAATATCCAGATAATATATCAGAAAAGAATTCTCAGAAAATTTTGGATGATATTGTAGATGAAAGGACAGTCCTCATTTTGTGATTTAGAGAGATGGAATTTAACATGCAAAAATGCTGATTGCTTTTGCTTCTGACAAGAACCAGAAGTTGTGTTTGTTTGTAACCATTCTGATGCTAAGAAATGTGGTTGATTGGTTAAAACGTATTTTTTCTACTACTGAAATACAATTCACAAATCTCATGTGTGATATTTTAGCTGTAGGCACATTTTTCTCATGTCAGAATAAGAAGGCTTGAAGCAATTTCCAGATCTGTTAAAAACACACATACACATAGCCTTGAGGGTTTGAAAAGTTCTGTTGTTTATTTCCTTTTTCTATTTTCTAATTCTAAGATTAAGTGTCTTGAAAACAATACTCATAAATTAGCACATACATCAGGTTGAATCATAAGGAAATTCCATTTTTGTGGGTCAACAAATGGTTAAGTATTGGCAATCTTATGAAGTTCAACATAGTAAAGAGATATAGCAATTCCTTTTATTTATTAATTAGATTTCCCATCTCAGTCTATTACAAGCTATCTTTTGCCCTCATCACTTTTTTTTAGGTTAATTTATTTATTTATTTATTTTTGGCTGTGTTGGTTCTTCATTGCTGTGTGCAGGCTTTCTCTAGTTGCGGCGAGCGGGGGCTACTCTTCATTGCAGTGCGTGGGCTTCTCATTGCGGTGGCTTCTCTTGTTGTGGAGCACGGGCTCTAGGCACGCGGGCTTCAGTAGTTGTGGCATGTGGGCTCAGTAGTTGTGGCTCATGAGCCCTAGACCGCAGGCTCAGTGGTTGTGGTGCACGGGCTTAGTTGCTCCGCGGCATGTGGGATCTTCCTGGACCAGGGCTTGAACCCATGTCCCCTGCATTGGGAGGCAGATTCTTAACCACTGTGCCACCAGGGAAGTCCCAACCCTCATCACTTTTTAAAAATTGTTTTTGCCAAAATTTCCACTAGCCTCCTAATGCCCTATTTTCCTTTCTCAACATGCCAAAGAGGTTGAGGCGGAAGACTCTAGAATCAGGTTGTGAACATTAGAATCCTGGCTCTATCCTTTATAGCTGTGTAACCTTTGGGTAAGTTATTTCACTTTTCTGTGCTTCAGTTTCTTCATCTGTAAAATGAAGACATAAATAGTATCTACGTCATAGGATTGTTACAAGGAGTAAGTGAGATGTTAAATAGAACACACAGCAGGAACATAGTGAATATTCATTAAATATAATGATTACTATCAATTGACTTTTTAAAACATGAGACACCATCTAACATAATTTGTTTTCAAAATATTTAAGTATTTAAGATACTTTAAATAAAACGTGTAAGAATGAGGACACTCATAAAAAATAAAATGTTGGGAATTCCCTGGTGGCCAAGGGGCTAGGACTTGGCACTTTCACTGCTGTGGCCCAGGTTCAATCCCTGGTCAGGGAACTAAGATCTCTCAAGCCACGCAGCATAGCCAAATAAATAAAAATAAAATGTTAAGGTTAAGGAAACAGTGCCCCTTGATCACTAGCCTCATGCAATCTGTCCTCTAGAAGTTCTCTCTGTTATCAGTTGTTTAATACGTATACATACAAACTATCTACACACACCTACATAAAAAATGAGTTTAAGAACAACAACAAAGACCCAATACATTTTACAATATAATACTGTTGTATTCGCTCCAGTTGCCATAACAAAATACCATAGGCTGGTGGTTTAAACAACAGAGATTTATTTTCTCACAGTTCTGGCGGCTAGAAGCCCCAAGATCAAGGTACCAGTATGGTCTGTTTCTGGTAAGAACTCTCTTCCTAGCTTGTAGACAGCTGCCTTCTTACTTTATCCCTAGAAGGTGGGAAGAGAGACAGCAAGCTCTCTGGTGTCTCTTCTTATAGAGCACTAATCCCATCATGAGGGCCCCACCCTCATTACCTCATCTAAACCTAATTATTTCCCAAAGGACTCATCTCCAAATACCATTACATCAGGGTTTAGGACTTCAACATATGAATTTTGGAGGAACACAATCAGTTTATAGCAACCATTTGTGTAAAAACAAACAAACAAACAAAAAACCGATTTATGTATGTACAAATTACCTGTTTATTATTAAGTACTATTTATTGTTTGCTGCTAGCATATAAGGCTTTTGTGCCAATTAGAAAAGGTGCCCCTTTCCAGGGGAAAAGTACATAGATCCCCTACAGGAAGCAGACAGATTAGGAAAAAGACAAGACGCCCCTTCTGAACCATGGAACACAGCTTGACAAGCAGAGGCAAAGCTGGACATCATATCCCCTTTTTACTCCTCGTTGAGTATCACTTTCTGCAAAGCACAAACTTCAGAATGGGTATCCCTGCAAACAGACCTACCTGATTCTTTAAAAATATTACATATTATCCATGTTTCTTCTAAAGTTTAGCCATCTGGGATTTCTTTTCATAAAAGATTGGAGCAAAATGTCTGACTTTCATATTTTGGTCTAAACTGATAGGTATCATGACACCAATTATTTAATGATTCATCCTTCTGCACTGATTTGAAATGCCACCCTTTATTATATATTACACTTCTAACTGTGCTTTTATATTCATATGGGCTCTTGATTAGATTAAATAAAAACTGATCTATATTTATATTTCTACATCAGTACCATGCCGTTTTATTTATTCTGTTTTGCTATCTGATAG